ACTTAGATCCGGAGGCAGTACCGTAGAATCTACACCACTTTGATTTACAATTGGTCGGTGGCCAAATATCTCACTCAGCTCTTCGAAAAAAGGACATTTTACTTTATCTTTGGTTCCTGCGCCGCTTACTGATAAAGCTTCTGTTGTAGCTTTAAATCGTTCTGTAAATAAAAAAAGCATTAAAAGTAAAGGGTAACATTCACTGCAAAAGCAACGATTACAAATTGAAGTTTATTGTCAGTTCCAAAATAAGTGTTCTAGTCATTAACAGGCTATGGTATAAAATAGATGGACGGTAAAACAAATTCATTGTCGTATCTTATTTCAATACACGTTTATTGAAATAAGATGCGACTATGAATTCCTATTCCTTGTTCTTTATTCCTCTCATTAGGTCTGAGCCCTTACAATTACAATATTTTTTTCAATTTACATACTTTTCATCGCTTTAAATTTGTCTAAGAGTTGCGTAGGTGTTTTCTGATATCCTTTGCTCTTAAAAGCTTCCTCTACTTTCTTGAATATTTCGGAAGTTCTAAACTTCTTTCCATCCATCAATGCTATCACTTGCAATTCTTTTATAATTGCTAAAAAGCACTCCGTCTCCTGGACATCCCAAGTGGCCGGCTTCTTTCTTTCTTGATTAGAAGCCATTGTAAACAAAGTATAACCTCTATTTTTACATCAAAATACATTAAACGCGAAGAGCTCAGCTGCTTATCTTTTCCTATAAGAATGATAAAGATTCAATACAAAAGAATTAAATCAAAGACATGAGCAGACGTCGAAATTTTTTGCATGGAATTAAGCTGCACGTAAAACTTAGGCGGTAATACTAAAAAATTATATATCATTCAATAGTAAAGTTATCGAATAAAATATAGTATAATAATACTTGTATAAATTTCTGCTTACAGAGAAAAGTAATATCTCCTGGATAATAGTAAAGTAAACTCGATAGTATGAAGTAAAACGTCTTCTAGAAGACTTATGTATGTACATATAAACTCATTTATCAAGTTGGCAACACTACAGTAACGCTAACTCAACTCTTGTCGTTTCCATCGAACCTCATTTAGACCCTACCTTAAAATTTTATTGGGTAGGGTTCAGGTTCGAGTTTGGTGTTTCCACCGGAAGAGCGCTCACCCCAACCCGATTCTGACCCGACTCTGACCCAGTACGAACCCTCGGTGGAAACTTACTC